CTACTCCGGCCTCCGACCTCCCGTTTCTGTGGCTCCCTCGGCTATGCCCATGCTTATTGCCACAAGTCTTCGACACGCCCTCCTTCTCTCGCATCCGCGCTGGCCAGTCCGTGCCATATCCCTCCGTGCTGCATGCCCAAAAATCCGCTGCACGAGGCGGCACATGACACGCGCTGGCCGCGAGCCTGAGCACTAGGACCATACCTGAGTACGAACCAGAGCACACGAGCGCCCAGGTGAAGCCTCGCATCTTGCCAACCTGCTTGGCTTTGCATACAGGGCGCAGATACGCAGACGTGCGCCCAGAGTGACAACCGCCAGAAGCGTTGGACATCGTTCCCTGAGGCCGCACAGAAGAAACAACACATCAAACACGACGAACATAACACGAATACTCGCGAGGTATTTTGAGAAACCGAACTCGAAGGAAGTCAATCGGTGGAACGCCTGGACGTGCGGTCCGTATAGAGCATTATCAAAAGTACCGGGCTTAGGCCCTGCCTTGTTCTGGTTGGGCCTAGGTCGGGCTCCGTAGGCGGTGCGTCCTACCCATGTTAAGGACCTGGTTCGACCTGGTTGAGGGTGGGCTTCTGCCTACACGCCGCATGCAGCATGCATGTCACATCTAGATCACACTCGATTGAATGAATACTCGCCGCGTGAGTCAAGCGACGTTAAATGAAGCTCAGCTCAGCCAAAAATTAATCACAATCATTGTTGGACGTAGGGCTGAACACTGAAGGTAAAGCGAAGGCTGAAGCAATGGCTCAGACTAGGAACACGGATTGGGCTAAACCTGAGGCCCAGCTGTGCGCCGTAATGCCAAGGCTGGAGCGAAACATGAAGCTAAATCAACCATTCAGCAAGCACGCCAGTACCGCTAAGGCTAATGCGGAGGCTAAACTGACGCTAACTGCGGCAGGGTGCCGGCCTACCCTGAGCTAGTTGAATACAGGCTGACGCCCGCGATGGCAGACATCTAAGATACAGCTATGCCAACTGTAGTCTAACGTGTGCTACGATGAAGTGGGCTAGATTGCATTGCTGTATGATCAAGCTGAAACCACTCCAAAACCATGTTGCGCTAGGCGAGTGGAACAAGTCGACCACGCACAGCTCACCTGCTCGAAGAGAGACACGTTCATGATAAACGCATCGGGTGCTGGACCCACCACTCACGTTACAACCACTGGACTTAATCAATAGCTTCCCCAGAAAATCCCAATGTCTACCCAAGAGTCTGGACATTGCCTCCCTGCCAGCGAATAGTGTGCGGCGCGCTTCTATACGTAACACATTCGGAACAGCTTGGCTCTACGCCCGCGCTCTTCTTCTAGCCCGAGGGAAAACATATAGTACCTGCGGCGTGACCTGTAGCTGCAGGCACCTCCGACTCATAGCCACCCTGTTCGTACATCTCCCTCCCGCTCTTCCCCGATCCTGCGAACAGTGTAACCAGCCAGTCTGTTACAACGAGGCCAAGGTCGTTGTCAAGGTGCTCTGCCAAATGCTCTCCCAGATCAGGCATTGCCTCATATCTGCTTCAAGATGTGTCACCCGCGTGGCAAGATAGTGCGGGCAAGCAGACCGCGAAACACCATAACATCAACATTGCAATGCGTGCAGATCAGCGGTGCAGTGCTGGCCAAACCCGCACCACTTGCAACCAGGAGCTCTAACATGGAAACTCAATAACTCTTTCCACACAACCAATCGTGGATGAAAGAGCACGGGAACGGGCAGACACGAAATGCCCACATACTCACCGGGTCGAACGAAAATCGCCAAGCGGATCCCACGCACAATGGCTTCACGTGTGCATCGGGGCCTTCGTATTACGTGACCAAGAAGAACGCCACAATGATTCTGACAATCAGGTTTTGCCGTCGCCCCTCCAAGTGGATGAACGTGTGCGCATCGCTCTCGTGACGCTCATTTGGCTGTTTTGCGTTGGCTTGTGGAACTCTATTGTCCTCCCCAGCCCGATTGCCACCTCAATGTTATCCACAACTGCGGGGGACTGCATATGCACTATGCGTCCCCCTTGCATTCCCCCTCCCTCTCCTGCGCAGTCGCTTCTAGTGCTCGACCAGGTGGCCGATCGCCTTCTAAGAGACTGGACATCTACGAGCTAGACCTGCTCCGTGAAGGGCAGCCACCATCACGTGGTGGTGCGGGGCTCGGCCCTTCGTTGCACAACACTGCCCTCATGCGATATGTCTTCCGCTATGTGTGACCCAACGGCACGTCGGAAACACCGAAATGCGCACCGAAATGCGCTGCGCTGCGCGTCCCGATCCCCTTGGATGCCTCCATCAACAACTGCGTCAAGATGAAGATCCGCATGCGCAAGCCGGCCATGTCCGGGGGAGCAAACATGCCTGGATCGGGCTAACATGGGCTAGAAGATACGGTGGAGGGAAACAATTACTGAACACTCCCCGTCCCCCCCAACCTCACTGTTGGCACGCGCGGGGGAGACTGCGGTCGAAGTGCATCCCATCAGACCCACCGCCAACTTTGAACATTGGGAGGAGGGGGAGCAGTTGACAGATGAATATGGCATGACTGTTCGCTAATTTGTTCCGAGGCCTGTACGTCCACGGCCCAGCGGCGGGCGTCCGACAAGTCTCGACTGCAGTACCCTCCCACAAGCATGCCTATTTCTAACCACCCCAATCTTGTTCCATTCGACACCAATCGTCACATATTCGAACCCACTGGACTTGACGGAATGGCTCACCTTGGAATGCCGCGAGCTCGGGCCGCGGCGGCGCATGCAGCCAGCACATCCATCTGTCGCTTCTGGCCGAGAACGAATTGGCCAAGGCAGCCGCGCACAGGAGGGGCAACGCGAGCGGGGGAAGGGAGAGGGAGGGACAAATGACAAAGGGCTGCGATGGGACGCAGCTCAGACAAGCAGGGGGACCGCAACCTGATTGACATATCCCACGGGGGCCATCTCAGCGCTGGCTGCAGGGTGAAAGCAGCCATTGGAACTGGAAGCCTCTGTTCCAACTGCGGCCAAAGAGGATTCTGGTCGCCGCACGATTTGCACCGTCTGCAACGAACAAATAGCCGCAGCATCCAACCCGTGAGATTGTACGACGTTCCTCCGTTGGTCCCCCCCCTGAGGCACAGAATGTGTTGAAAACATGTGAACGTGCGCTTTGGGGCATCACTGACGATGCCTACTGGCGCTCTCATTGGAGCTCGCTCTGGGGCGCCGGGTATGGTGAGGTGTGCCAAACGGATTGCGCTGTATTTTGGGCTCCCTATGGGACACGACGTGTGGTATGGAGCGTGCCAAAATGACCATCGTGCGTACCCAAGCGCTTGCACTGGTAAATCCCATTACGAATGGGGCACGCTTCGAACTGTGCCCCCTGGCACCAAGGCTGAGATCCCTCTAGGGCGCGAAGTACGTGAGAGGCGTGCCAACCTGAGCCCAGGCCCGAAAGCGACCGTTCCCACGTGCTCTGTACATTTGGGCTTACTTGGAATATGTAGTATGGCACTGGGTACGCTGAAATAACCCATGCCTAAATGCAGACCATGCTAATTGTCGCCGTAGTTGGGAGGCTGCGTATGGGGAGCGAAGTGTGTCGGTGCCGTGCCCAAGTGAATGTCCTGATGACGGGCACGAGTCGTTGTGATTCCATGCGCGCTTGGCTGTGTAGACCCACGCGCTGCTGGATGCTCCTGGGCAATACAAGTACGGTTGGTGTGGCGACTTACCGCTTACGTGCAAATACTAGTAGGTTTGATATTTTGTTGATTTATATTTAGCTTGAATAGAACAAAAATCAACTCGGGATCCTCAACTCGGATGTGGCTGTGCTCTGCCTTCCATTTGCGCCACTACGTCGGTGAAACTCTTCCCAGATTTGTGTGCGCCGGTACGCCAACCTGGGGAGCTCCTGCTGTGGTCTGCCCCGACGAGAGGCTGGGGTCGTTCAATTCCTTGCACGCCTCGGTTCGCACAATTGGCTGTGTAGGCCCACGCTTTGGTGACAGCTCCTGGTATGATATCGTTCCTATCTCTACTCTGTCCACTATCTGGCCTACCACCCTCTACCCTCTGAACTATCGAGGCCCTGGGAACGTGGCCACCACCAGGAATCCAGAACCCAGAGCTAAGAACCCAGGAAGTGGGAGCCCAGCCGCCCACCGCAATCGGCGGCCCAGCTGCGAGGATCTCTAAGTGCAGGTACTGACTGGAGAATGAGAAATCCCGCTGCTGGGTCGCGAGAGGAGGGCAGTGTGAGGTCAGGCCCGTTTCTCGCGGAGTCCCTCTGCGTTCAACCCTCATGCGTTCTCTCTTTCGGCCGATTCCCCGTCTCCTTCTCCTCCACTGGGCTCGTGCTGTGTTGCTCCCCCCAGCTGGGGCATGCCCGTATAGCCTTGCAGCCCGCAGTTGATCATCATGGCAGCGAACACCCAGAATGTCGGCTCCTTCCCTATCGGGCCCCACTTGTATTCTTCATCTACCCCTCATGGTCCTCCCATTCATCTTGCGGCTGACGCTCCATACCCTGACCTCGTGCCCACTGTCATCCTGGCTCATTGTCGTCTTCGGATTCCTCGTCGTCTGTGGCCTCTTCCCCTCGCCTCTGCGCCTCAACAGAAAGTTGGTTCAGCTCAGACCAGCTTCACACTTTTTTGATCCGCGGGTCGAGAGCGAGACCACCAGGAGGAGGAGGAGGAGGAGGAGGAGGAGGAGGAGGAGGAGGAGGAGGAGCCTCTCTTTCCCGCAGGGCCGCTGGGTGCGCGCATCCCACGCTCTGCGGCTCGTGGTCTCTCCGGTAGATGGTGGCCTCTGGTCGCGGCGGCTCTCGTGGTCTCCGGCGGGCGGTCTCGGGCCGTGGCCTCTGGCTCGCGGTTCTTGGTCGCGGTCCCTGGCCGTAGCTCAGGGGGTCTCTGCTCGTGGTCGTGGTCGGATCCCACGGTCTGCGGCTCGTGGTCTCTGGTGATGGTCTCTGGTCGCGGCCCGTGGTCTCCGGCGGTGGTCTCTGGCCGTGGCCTCTGGCTCGCGGTCCTTGGTCGCGGTCTCTGGCCGCAGCTCGGGTGGTCTCTACTTGTGGTCGTGCGGTGCGGCTTCGCACAGCACAGTTCCTGTGGGGTCGATCACACCACCCGCCCGAGCCAAGCATGCAGCTGTACGACTGATGACACCATCGCGTCCGAACAATCCCATACTGTCGGGGGATGCGTGAGGTACTGCTCTTGCCTGGCTAAGACGGATGTCATAACCTTGTTCCTTGCATGCCCTCAGAAGGCCGCGCAAATCGATGAACGCATGCGCGCGTGCTGCTAACTACGTTGATGTTCATTGGCATGAGAATTCCGGATATAATGATACATGGTGAGTGAAAAGCAGCTTTGTCTTTCATGTGTGACTCAAGAGGTCCGCATTGAATTGCTTGGGCCATGCGTCTTAGAACTATCTTGCTTGCGCGCGCAGGAGTGCGCGCATGCGGCCAGAATTGTACTTTTACAGCAAGGGTTCGCGACATCGGTGAGCATGCACGTATCATACTCGCATTTACAAAGGGATCGTGCCTGGGTCGGATAGGGATGCGCACCGACTTAGTTATGCCGTAGATCTAGCGCGCATATGGTCCATACATCACTTTTCCGAACAGTGGTCGCACTTACGAGCTCTTGCGTTCTGAATCCGTGTGCTTCCACAATGTGTTGGGTGTTCCCAAGTTTTCGCCACATTGCCGCGCGCGCCGCCTCGCAGGCGCTCGAGAGGGGGGCCCCGTGCGCTCCACGTTGCCGCCGAATGCCGCCTCGTGGGCGCCTCGTGGGCGCCCAGTCCCCTGGGGGGTTTTGTTCGAGGCTTCGGCGCGTGGCCGCCCGTGCGTGCCACCTCGCGGGCGCTCTCGTAGGCACCCCGTGCACTTGGGGGGGGGGCTTGCCGAGATGGCTTCGAGGCTTCGGCGCGTGGCCGCCCGTGCGTGCCACCTCTCGTGGGCGCTCTCGTGGGCACCCCGTGTACTCCGGGGGGGGGGGCCTGCCGAGGTTGCCACCTCGTGCCACCTCGTGGGCGCTCGTGCGCGACCCGTGCGCTGAGCTTGCACCACGTATAGCTTGCACGTCCTAGCTTGCAACACATAGCTTGCACCGCACATCTCACACAACGTAGTCTACGCCACACAGCCTGGACCACGCACTTCCACCCCCAGCTCACAGTATACCATGCGCACTATCACTTGCACCGTACAACTTGCACCACATACGTCACACCGCAGAACTGTCGCCTCCAATGCGATGACTCACATATTGTAGTCCATGCTGGCTAACGAGATGCAAGGGCAAGGTACAGTCTGGGCCGGCCCAAGGCGTGCTGTAAGCATCATTCCCCAATCAGAGCTTGCCTCTGTAGGGGTCCCAACGGATTCATATGGTTAGGTGATGTCTGGCGCCGATTTCGGCGGCACGCCCGGGTGCCCGGGCGCCCGGGTGCCTGGGTGCCCAGGTGCCTGGGTGACCTAGCCCTATAGCCTTATAGCCATATAGCCCTGTAGCCCCATTGCCCTATAGCCATACAACGCTATAGCCCTATAGCCCTATCACCCCATACCCGTATGCCCTATAGCCCTATAGCCGTCTAGCCTTACAGCCCTATAGCCCTATAACACTATATGCCTATAACCCTAGAGCCCTAGAGCCCTAGAGCCCTATCGCCCTATAGCCCGATGGTCCTATAGCCCTATAACCCCATAGTCCTATAGCCCTAAACATATTCGGTTTGTGTTTTCTCCGGTAGCATAAGGTCAAGGCTATAGTAGAAGGCAGTTCAAGATTTGTCTGGAGCATCTGATGTGATATAGGTACAGGGTGTGTTGTAGCAAGCTCTAGGGCAGCACATGGTATTAGTTTAATGTACTAGACAATCCACGACAATATCGTACAACATCTTGACGTCTTGCATAGAGATACATACGGTATACCTTCATGACAATACACACGTAGCCCAGCACAATAAAACACATGTTGTGTACACAACATCAAACCAGAGTGAGTAGGCCGAGCGAACACTCACTGTCCCTGGGTGCGTACCTGAAGTGTGGTTCTGCGGTGCAGATAATTGTTGCGTTTGCTGCTGTTGCGGTTGTTTGATGTAATTGTTGTCGCCGTCCTTCTTACGACCCAACCCGCGACCCACTCACGACCTACCCGCGACCCGCCCGCGACCCACCCGCGACCCACCTGCGACCAACCCGCGACCCACCCGCGACCCGCCCGCGACCCACCCGCGACCCACCCGCGAGCCACCCGCGATCCACCCGCGACCCGCCCGCGACCCACCCGAGACCCACCCGCGACCCACCCGCGACCCGCCCACGACCCAGCCGCGACCCAGCCGCGACCCAGCCGCGACCCACCCGCGCCCCACCCGCGCCCCGCCCGTAACCCACCCGCGACCCACCCGCAAGCCACCCGCGACCCACCCCGCGACCCACCCGCGACCCACCTGAGCCCCCCCCGCGCCTGCCTCTCACTCTTATCCGCAACTGCGGGGTGCCACATAAGGACTGTACGACATACTTTATACGATATGTCATACGGTGGAAATGGCTACTCTCTCTTAGTCAGGGTGAGGGGGTCGAACGGACTTACACCATTCCTGGGTGCGTGTCTTCAGTGGGCTCCCGCGGTCAGAATTCAGGTGGTCGTTCTGGTGTTGTTTTAATATGGCCCGCCCGCGACCCAACCACGACCCGCCCGCGATCCACCTGCGACCAATCCATGACCCACCCACACTGCTTTGGCGAAAATTCGACCCATCCGGCGGGCTCTGTCTGCAATCTGGTAAAACAAGCAGTCGGAGCCTACGGCGGGCTTCTTGAATGTTGCTTTCGGGCCTCGCAGGCGACCCCAACGCCCCCCTCACATCTCCCCTCAACTGAGGACGTCAGTGTACTAATCCAGCTGCTCAGGGTCTTTGTTGCCGCCAAGGGTGTATTTGTGTCACTGCCCTCCGTTTCATTCCTCCTTCGCCATACTGTTCCTTGGCCCTCGCATTTGGTTTCCGAGGTAGCTTTTACTTCGAATGTGTATCACCCCCCGCAGGTGCGGAGAACAGCAAAGGAACCCTCGGGCTGAGGCGCGCAATGATTTTCTCCAGAACCACTGCGAAACACCTCGCTGCAAGCGCCAAACGTATTTTTCAATACAACCTTGGTTGGGTGGCCAGCCGTGAGCGCCGACTTGGCTGGAGCAATGCCGCGGGCGATCGCGGGTGGGTCGCGGCGCGGGTGGATCGCAGGTGGGTTGCGGGGCGGGTGGGTCGGAGGTGGGGGTTTCACTGGGGGTGGGCCGAGGGTGGGTTGCGGGGAGGGTTGCCAGGCGACGACGATATCGAAGGGACCAGGGACAGCGTAAGACCGCTCGGCCCCCTCACTATGATACCTGTGAGCGCTTCCCCGCTCTAATCTGCCTTCTGGATGCCTCTCTGTCACAAGATACGTCGGCTCGTGGTTCGGAAGCACTGTATGTGGGATGTGGGAGCTAAGCCCTCCCGAGGGAATGCCGGATTGCCTGGGTCACGGCACGGCCATGACCGTCGGCCTTTGAGATTGGCTCGCTCATGCGCCTGTCGAGACCAGGTTGCATGAGCCTTCGCAGTCCCGTGGGAAGCGGGGCAAACTGTGCCCCCCCCCCCCCTTCGGTGTGATCCAAGAGGAAGCAGCGCGTCCCTCCACGGCTGTCAGGAGCGGCTCGAGAGCATCGGCAGAACCTAGCGCCGTGTTGGCAACATGCCGACGCTGAAGCCTGCCTCCCCATGGAGCAGACAGCGCTGGAGGAGTAAGCGCATTCCCAATTGACCAGCACCAAGGCGTCGAACACTTCTGCGACCGTGGCGATCCAACAACATCATGTTGAACTGGCAACGTTTCTGTAATAGCACCCGTTGAACATGCCAATTGGTGCCACCGATTCCGAACCGCAAGTCGGACTATGCTGGTAGGTGCCACTAGCCCCGACCTGCCCCACTGCTCTGCTAGGCCGACAATGCTAGCGGTTGCCACTTTCCCCGGAATGCCTCGAATAGCCCCGTTGCCCAGTATTGCCAAAACAGTGTGGGGCACTTCGAGTCAGGCTGACTAGCCCCTTTGCTGGATTCTGACGGCTCCCCCAAAACAATGCCTGCACTGAGACCACCTCCTCCTCCTCCTCTTCCTCCTCCTCCTCCTCCTCCTCCTCCTCCTCCTCTGCTCCTCCTCCTCCTCCTCCTCCTCCTCCCCCTGGACTGCCAGTTGGCCCAGACTAGCCAGACTTCCAGGCGCCGGCCGCTGGCCCAGATTGGCTGAGAGTTCAACTACCGATTCAGTGCTGGCTGGTCCCCGCCAGCCCGTTCTGGCCCTGCACCGTCTAGCCCTGCACCGTCGCAGCCACCATCCCCGAGCTGCACGTCCGATGACCCCTGCAGTCACCAGGCATGACTAGCAAGCCCATGAATTATTTTGGGATCAGCGCGACGGGACTTTCGCTCCTGGGCACCCCCTCAACTCCTTCTCCAACACACCTTGGCAACATCTCACGCCAAGAGTTGACAATTCCTGCAATCGTGGTCGCTGTGGTGGCGTCGGGTGCTCATTCTGCTCTGGACTCCATCCCAGATTGTTTATCAGAACCAATCGCCGCGATAACGACAGGCCGTAGGCTGCAAAAAGTCCGACGAATGCCTGCGAATTACCAGAACAGATCAAGACCCACAAATAAACATCAGCAGCGCGCAAGTAGGTTCAGCAGATTAGGAAGTGCGCTCGGATCGATCAGCAAAGAGCAGGCCAACCCACAGACCCCAACTAACCGAACATTCTCAAGAACACCCCCTTAGCCTTTGCTATCTGTTGCCGCTCACTTGCGGCCTGGCAAATTGATGCACCCAGGTGCAGCATCAGTGGCCAAAGTGCAGGCGGCAGATTGTGAAGAAGGGCGAGGCACGAACGAGTGAGGAGGGTGAGGAGATGAGAGGGAAGACAAAAGAAACGATAATCGGAGGGGAGGTGAGGGACACGGAAAGGAGGCAAAACGTATCCGCCAAGCCCCAAGCGCCTCTTCACCAGCGTGCCACAACAAATGGGAGGCGATCGCGCTCATCCCCTGCACGTACCCCACGGAGTCGTGGCGCTGACCTACCCTGCCCTGGCCCCGAGTAGCGGTAGCGATGGCGACAACGAGACCGTCTCGTTGTCGCCATCGCTACCGCCGCCGTCGGCGGCGGTGATGACCGGACGACGAAGACCTCGACGACACGCCAAGCAAGGCCAGGCGAACTCCACAGCGTCAAGGTACCCTTCGACGTCGCGCCCGAGAACCAACGGCCGCGGTGCGTGCGGGAGAGCTTGGCGCCCCCAGGCCAGGGTGCCAAGAGCTCGTACACCGCCACGGCACGGCAAGGAGCGGAACTTGGGCGGCGATCGCCTCGACGCTCCCGAGCTTCACGCTGACCTCTTCTCGGATACTGCTGCCGTCAATCAAGGATTCACCGTCCCGTTCGCGCTCCTACATGTTTTCCCGCTCCAGGATCACGGCCGTGGCGTCTACCAACGACACCTGCACACGCTGCGCCTTGGACTCCGGCACGGCCAAGCATGATGCCACGGGGATTGGCAAACCTGAGGTTCGGGCCCAGCAACGTGCCAAGCTGACTCGTTGCTCATCGGCCGCCTGATGATACGTCCCACCGCGTGCACGAACGAAATAGGTGGCTGAATGGGCCTTCCTCGATCCTGGTAGGTAGGTGGGTGGCACTGGCGTGCTATCAACGACTTCCCGCGAAGGTTGCCCTGAGAATGCTTCTTGCGCGCAAGCCGCAAACATTATCGATATGCTTCCCGGCGGTTGCCTGGAAATCATCCCGACACAGATCCTGCGGCGGGAGCCCTCGCTCTTATGAGCCATGCGGGCTTTGAGCGCATCTGTCCCCCCCTCCCCCCGCCATAACTGAGCATCCAGAAGCGGTTAGGATGTCTCGGGTCTAGCCAGAAGTGTCCATCCCGAGCCATGTGGGGCGCGGTCCCCTGGGGCACATTACCTATTGATCGGCGCGAAGACTGCAGTGGATGCCCAGTCAGACTGTAGATGTGAGCTCGCTCTGATCATTCCGACCATCGGGGCCCGTACGCGCACAGGCCAGGACGCAGCATCGGGCCTGACGTTCCCGAGAATGTCTTGTCATCCGACCACATCGGCGATGCTAAAGTAACGAACCGAACATGCGCCGATTTCCTTGAACGTGCGGGACCTGGGAAATGCGTCATGAACAAAAGACACAAGTCCAACCCAAGTCCAACCCACCTCTGTCCATCGATCAGGGCCTCAGATACCACGACTGACCAAGCATTTAGCCATATCAGTGGTAGAAGGCCCTAGTGCTGCTGAGGTGCCCCACGGAGGCATCACAAGAAGGAATCACAAAATCTCAACCATTGCCAACTGAAGTCGCCCTGCTTCCCGCTGCCACGCTTTACCAAATCTTGCCTCTTGCAGCGACAATATCGCGATCTTCTGTCGCAACGCAACAGCGATCGGGCAAGAAGTCATAGGATAACAAAACCAGTCACGTAGCGGATGGATACCGATCGATGGACAGCGGTGGATAGAGATGTGTTTCACCTTGGCTGTACTTTCACAGAAGGAGCGTCTCGACGTCTTGTCCCTTGCGAACGCAATCCGTCACCAACAACCTAACATTGTTCGTTTCTGGCCACTCGTTCCCTCCGTCATACTTCAAGCGTAATGCAAACACATACGGTTTCTGCCGTTGGGTCTTCTCGGGTCGCTTGGACCCCTCAGGCACCAACTCTTACCGGGAACTATGGCCAAGGGGATGCTTCGATAACTGCTCGACAGCTGCCATCCCGATGCCGAATTGCATGCCCAGTCGGAGGCATGCTCCTGTATCGAAAGCGACAACACATCCGATCAGCAAGGAGAGATCGAGGATTACGCATCTGCCTGCCCGAACGAATCTGGCAACAAAGAACGAACTTCTGTCGCCCGCTTTTGGAATCCCAGGGCCGCCTGCACGTTAGGCAACGGTCTGTCCAACACATGCCAAAACAATGCTTGCCGACCGAGACGGTTGTATCGGTCACATCTTGGCCAGGCCTAATCAGGTGTTCACCCTTCTGCTGCATCGCGCCTGAGCGGGGCGGCCATAAACTCCCCTATCCCCACACGTGAACAATCTGCTCTACGAACCGATTCGCAATGTATCCTTTAGCTTTTATTTCCCCCGCCACCGTCAACACCGATCGCGTCTTGGTGCTTCAGACTGCCTTCCTGCCTTCGCTTCGCGAATCTGAACACAGAGAAACAAACGTAAGATATGTACGAACATGAATGATACCCTACTGACTGAGTTGGCTGTGCTCAGGGCACTGCCTTCAAACATGCAATGTTCGCCAGCGTGGACCCCAAATAGTAGGCTCGTGCACCCTCGAAGTGCAATATGTGTATCGCAAGCAATGTCATGCGTTCTGTGTATTGCACTTTCTGTGTGCTGCAGGCTATGTGGTGAAAGCCACGTAGTGCATGCTATGCGGCAGCACGAACGTGATACAGACCATGTGATGCGAGCTTTTGGTGCAGGCTACGTGGTGCAAGCAAACATTGTAGGCTATGTGGTGCATCCTGTGTATAGTTCGGAAGCCGGGCAAGGGCTGCTAAATCCGCGGCTGCTAAAATCGACCTCCGGGAAGTTGTCTTCGTCCTTCCGGGAAGAAACCCGTTGACCGTTTCGCGTGCCGCGCCTCATTCCGGGAAGTTGTGTTTTCCTTCCGACAGGGCCGTTCTAGCAGCCACGGTTTTAGCAGCCCTCGCCCAGCTTTCGAATAGTATCTCCGGTGCACGCCATACGGTGCAGGCTATGATGTGCAGGCTGTGCGGTGCGAGCTGTGTCCTCCTTCTCCTCCTCCTCCTCCTCCTCCTCCTCTCCCCTGCCTTCCCCCCCCCCCCTCGTCGTCCCCCCCCCTCCTCCTCCTCCTCCTCCTCCTCCTCTCTCCTCCTCCTCCTTCTCCTCCCCCTCCTCCTCCTCCCCCTCCTCCTCCTCCTCCTCCTCCTCCTCCTCCTCCTTCTCCTCCTCCTCCTCCTCCTCCTCCTCCTCTTCGGCGCAAGCTGTGCGGCGCGAGCTCTGCGGTGCACCCGGCGCGCGGTGCGCGCCCGAGGCGCCCGCGGGTCGGCACCTCGGGCGAGACCCCGCCGGAGCCACCCAGCGCACGGCGCGCCCACGAGGCCGCCGCGGGCGGCCTCGCGGGCGGGCGCCGGGCGAAGCTCCGCTCGACGCAGCCAAGTCCTGAGGCAAGCGAAATATCGAGGGGCCCAGGCTTAGTGGGCCCTGGAAGCGACAGGGCCGTCTTTTTACCGGTTCCGTTCTGCCGTTTTTGTTGCCGGTTCCGACGCCGTTTGTTTGCCGGTTCCATCGCCGTTTTTTGACCAGTTCCGGCTCTGGTTCCAATCCTGGAGCCGTTTTTTTGCCGTTTCCGGTCGCCGTTTTTTTGCCGTTTCCATTTTCAAGGTACATTTTTTTGGAAACGGTGAAAAAAAGGCCCTGCCGTTTCCGGGGCCCACAAAGGGCCCAGGGGCATACGAATCAAGACACACAACCAACCCCCCACTTCCCATATTTCCCCATATCTTCTGGGAGTCGACAATTCATTGTGTCTGTGTGTTTCTTCCCCTCCTGAAGAAAAAAACCCAATGCTGCCTACATGCTTTTGGGAGCAAAGCGGCGCTGAGAACTCACATGCCAAATGGTTGATAACCCTGGTGCAGGAGCCAAAACACATTGTGGCTCGATTCTCCCCGTGCGAGTTCTACTAGTAACGTTGTTGTTGTTGTTTCTGCTGCGCGTACGTTCTTCTTTATCCCCATGCCCACTGCTTCGAATCCGATCACCCCCCTCGGTCGACTTAACCTCCCGTTCCCAGCTTATATCGCTCTGACTCATCAGAGTGAGGGGGCCGAACGGTCATTCCCAGTCCCTAGGTGCGTGGCTGAAGTAGGGTTCTACGGTGCAAATATTGTTGCGTTGGTGTTGTTGTTGCTGTTCAGGGTGAGGGGGCCGAACGGTCATTCATTGTCCCTGGGTGCGTGGCTGAAGTGAGAATCCGTGGTGAGGATTCTGCTTGTTGCGTTGTTGTTGTTATTGTTATTGTTGTTGTTTGTTTGTTAGTTTGTTGTCGTCGTCCCCCCCGCGACCCACCCGCGACCCGCCCCGCGACCCACCCCGCCCCCCACCCCGCGACCCACCCCGCGACCCACCCCGCGACCCACCCGCGACCCGACCCGCGACCCACCTGCGACCCACCCCGCGACCCACCCGCGACCCACCCACGACCCACCCGCGACTCACCCCGCGACCCACCGGCGACCCACCTCGCGACCCATCCGCGACCCACCCGCGACCCACCCGCGACCCACTTGCTACCCACCCGCGACCCACCCCGCGACCCACCCTCGACCCACCCCCGACCCACCAGCGACCCACCCGCGACCGATACACATTGGTTCGAAGAAAAGATTGGCGCCTGCGGCGGGCTCGTTGTATAATTTGTGAAACTTTGGCGCCTGCGGCGGGCTTCTCCCGAGTCTCGCAGACTGCCGACTCTCCAGAGTCTCGCAGACTGCTCTTATCCGCATCTGCGGGGTGCTACTTATTGTTGTTATTGTTGTTGTTATTGTTGTCATTGTTATTGTCGCCGTCCCACTCGCAAGCCGGTTCGCGACCCACCCGCGACCCGCCCGCGACCCACCCGCGACCCACACCGGCGTCCACCCGCGACCAACCCGCGACCCACCCGCGACCCACCCGCCATCCACCCGCGACCACACGCGACCCATCCGCAACCCTCCCCGCGACCCACCCTCGACCCACCCGCGACCCGTCCACGACCCACCCGCGACCCACCCCGCGCCCGACCCCTCACTCTTACCCACAACTGCGAGGTGCCACATATTGCCGCCGTTGGCGAGCCCTTGGCTGCATCCAGAAAGTGAGAATCTGGTGATCTCGCCTTACAACAACCACCGGTGTACATCGTGCAGAAGAGTGTTTGTGTGTGTGTGTGTGCGGGGAGGGGCGGGACACTTCGACGTCAAGCAAGCTCATGTTCTGAGCTACGGGAGGTGCGCAAAGAAAGCCAGTGTCGACTCTGCTTCAGATGCATTTTTTATGTGGGACCAATCGGCTATACGCAAGAGTGACCCTGGGTAAGAGTGACCTTTGGTGCGCGACTTTTTTGGGGGCCGCGGGGGGACCAAACCTGGGCGCGCAAGCAGCTGCTACTGCTTCGTTTTCAGCCATCTGGGGACCCATCGGTGCCCGCATCAAAGGTCACTCCGGCGAAGGGTCACTCTTACGTCTAGTCGAACCAAATACGAGCCCCTGCGATGTGGGCTCGGTTCTTCTTGAGCTGGAGACCTGGTTCGACGCTCTCCTTGCGCAGAACTCGGCTCCACCTCGCAACCTGATAGCACGAGCTGCTGTGCTGCGAGGCTCCGGCGCCCACCCCTAATAGACCCCTGCAGGTTTCGAGCCTCCGGAGTCGAAGCCGAAGCGAACAACGCGCGCGCGTGTGCTTTGTCGCTGCGTGGAGAGCTCAGGCCGGGCGAAAGGGGGGGATAGCGAAGGGGGGGGCTGAGAATCAGCTCACGTAGCTAACTTTCCCAGCGCCTCCCAGCGCCGGGAGGCGCCCATGTATCGAGGAATGGGCCCGGCGGCGGGGCCGAAGCCAGCTGCATGCAGCAGATTTCGTAACCCCCCCCCTTTCCCAATCCCCCCCTTTCGTCCGGCCCGGAGAGCGATGGCAGGGGTAGGGGCGGGCATGCTGTGGCAGACCAAGCGCCGCCTTCAATGCCAGACCCGAACATGGCGCAGCGCGCAGGGCCCCGACCATACATTGGGAGCACACTGAGCGATCGCGATGCGAACATGAACCATCGCGGCCAACATCCTATCACAATGGCTACTTCTCCATGGCCAACATTCTATCACAATGTCAATCATTCCGAGTCAGTCTAGCGACGAGCACTACATGGCATCGCGAACAAAAATATGGGGTCAACCATCACACATTGACATCGTAAACCCTGCCATGACCTTCTGCCACACTCCCACCAGAATCGTACGCCACCCACGCCTTGAGCACGTTGGTCAACTTTTCGCGCCCCCCAGACACCTGGAAGTATGACAGGCCGGGGCATGTCCTCTCGACGTCGCTGTACACTTCCCTGGACCCGCGCCCTGCATGTATGACTTTATGTGGCCTGCTCCCCTTTCTTGATACATCGCCCCTTCCCCACATTCAACCCAAACGTGAGCACATCCATGAGGCCGCGTCCATGCCATCCTTTTTCTGGCGCGCAACAAGAATATGTAGCTAGCCCCTCGCTGTAAAAAAAACTTGACAACCAGAGCAACCAATTCGTACACCCCCGACGATGTCGCTAGCACCGACTATGGAATGACTGGTTGCTTTCGGCGGCGCCTTCTCGGCGATACCTGTAAAACATGCAGTAAAAGAACACGTAGCAAAGGCGCCCACTGACAAGGGGCCCGTGGGAGAGCTACAGGGAAATCATGGGAAACCCTTGGGGCCATTACGAAGCCGCAGGATCTCGTCAGGAACCCCATGCAGCTGATAAATATTCGCAAGGGGCCGTGGACACATCTAAAGACACGGGCTTGCGCGGACTTAGCCCCCTCGCAATATCCTAGCACACGTGCCCAACATGCATTAAGTGACTGGCCCCAGTGGTCGCCATGGCGGACTCGCACGCCTCAAACGAAACCCAACGGAATCTGAAGAAAAACCCAAAGAACACCCACCATAGTCTCAGAAGAAGTTGAAAAGGATCCCAAAGACATCGCGACGGCACATCAGAGGACTCCCCAAACTGACGCAAGTGCCCCTCCACCCACATAGGGGTACAGTCGGGGCCTTGACCTAAGGAACCCAAAATAAGGAACGAGGCCCCTTTTTCCATAAGTCCAACTTCGATTTCCGATCGAAAACATAAGGAACACCTGAGGTAAGCTGCGACACACTTAAGGAACGCGGAGCCCCTCCCCAACGAAAATGGTTCCTTCTTCAGGGCCACGACTGTAGGATCCCTGCATCTTGAGCGCCCGTAAAACAGGTTTCCCAGGATGCATGGGGAGCCTGCCGTCGGAACCGCTCAAGACTTGACGGTGCCCCATGGGACACAGACGCAGCCATGGCGACCAATCAGCGAAAGATGTGTACATACAGACCTATGCGACCACCCTTCGGGTGATAAGGAGGTTCGGGGGGGGGGAGGGAACAAACGTGTGGCTCAATCGATCCTTCGATCGATCTCACGATCGATCTCACCATCGATATCACGATCGATCTCACAACCGATCGCACAATCGATCTCGCGTTATCGATATCGTTATCGATCGCACTATAGATCGCACGATCGACCTTAGTGTCGATCTAACTACCGATATCACGATCGGTCTCGCTATAGTTGTTCTATCGATCTCACTATAGATCTTACTATTGTTCTCAATATCGGTTTCACTATCGATCTTACGATCGAGCTCAATATCGCTATCACGATCCATATCGCTATCGATATTGCCATCGACCTCGCAATCGATCGCACCATCAACATCACACTCGATCTCACAATCGATATCACGATCGATATCACTATCGATCTTACGGGGCACCACGAGACACCACGTGGTACCGACGGGACAGCGCGGGATACCAAGGGAAACCACGTGGACACCCCGGCGGGACTCCGCGGGAAATCCAGGGACACCACGGGACACAGCGGGACACCGCGGGACATCATCGGGACTCCGGCGGGGCACCACGGGACACCATCAATACACCACGGCGGGACACTGCAAGACATCATCGACACACAACCGGGACATCATCGGAACACCAATCGAGACACCGCGGGGCAGCACGGGACGCCACGGGACGGACACCACTGGACACCACGGGCACCCGACCGCCACGCGGCCGGGGGTGGCGGCGGACTTCTGTCCTCGCCGCGCCCTGGTCAGGAGGAAGGTAATTTCTTCTCGCCCGCCCACGCAACTTCGCCTCGCCCGCGCGCACGATACGGATCCGAAACCGAAACCGATTTCCTGGTGTTGGTGCTTTCCCTTCCACGTCGATCTCACCCATTGTCCCTGTGTGCGTGGCTGAAGTGGGGATCCGTGGTGGTGAATATGTTTGTTGCGTTGCTGTTGTTTGTAGTCGTCGTCCCACCCATGACTCACCCGCGACCCACCCCGCGACCCACGCCGCCACCCACACCGCGACGAGATTCGGTCACTCTCCAAACCGAACGACTTTTCACAACCGGGATAGGTCACTGTACAACCAGCAAAGGATCGAATTCCATGGTTTCCTTTGAGAACGACCGCTCTCCAACCAGAAACAGCCCACTTACAACCATAATGACCACTTCACAGTCCAGACGGGGCTCTTTGCAACCAGAACGGCCACTTTACAACCAGCCTTCAAAAGCGCAGAAACGCGTGAGCACTCTGCAGAGGCGTCGGAAATTTCTGAACGCCTACCCGAGCGCTCTGCAGAGACCTCTGAGCGCCTGAGGTTTCCGCAGGGACTTCTGAGCGCCTGGGCGCCTTTCAGATGCTTCTGAGCGCCTGAGCGCCCTGCAGACGCTTCTGTGGCTTCATAGCGCTTGGGCGTTCTGCAAAGGCTCCTGAACGCCTGAGCGCTCTGCGGAGGCTCCTGAGGTTCGGAGCGCCTCTGCGCCATGCAGAAGCCTCTGAGGCTCATGAGCGCTTGGGAGATCTGCAGAGGTCTCTGAAGATTGATGAGGAGGGTGCGGAAGAGGGGGGCGACTTTGTGGCTGCTACTGCCGCGTTGCTGCTCTTCGAGGTTTTGGGAAGGCCTCCTGGGGGATGCACAAAAAAGTCTTGGCAACATTCTCGACCTCCTGGGTACGCATGCTTCCGCGAAGGTGTAAACAACAGGTTTTGCGATTGCCATCCAATGGGGCGCGAAGGCAAAACATGTCTGCAAGGCCAAAGACGTACAAATTGTAATCCGCACGCATTGGCTATAATTGGTCAACGATGTCTTGTGCACATGCTCGCCCTCCTGGGTACGCATGCTTCCGTAATGCTCACAATTGAAGCTGACATGTATTGGCTAAACATGTGCCACGGACTTCTTGGTCACATGTCCGCTTTCCCGGGTGAGCATGCTTCCGCACATGCGAAAAATTGCGGTTGTGCCTTTGCCGGACGATCAGGCGCGAGGACAAACCATGTCTATGATGCAAAAGCACTTCTTGAAGCCCACATGTATTGCCCAGAATTTGACCGACGCCTTCTTGGCAACATTTCCGCTCTCCTGGGGGCGCGCGTGTTCCTCTGCGTCTTTTGCGGCGAACGCTCTATTGCCAAAAGAAGCAATATTTTCAGGTAGAGATTCTGAGGCTCCAACAAAGCGGTGCACGCTTAGGGCATGGATGTAACAACAAAAAAGCGTCAACCTCCCAGGCCTGTCGCCAGCCTGAAGCGGGAGGATCCCGAGTGGATGTCAATTGATTCCAATAATTCCTTTTGGAAACCACAAGGATAATAATAGGACCCCAATCGGGGTACAGTATGATTCAAAGAGGACAACTTCTTGTTGTGTTACAGTTGGGCCACGATGGGATCATAAAGAAACCTGAAAAACTCTCCAACGGGTTTCCATCTAGTACCCCGGTGCGTTCCCCGCAGCATTCCAATAGGAAGGTGCCTCGCTTGTAGTCCAATGGGATTTCCAACCAGTTTCCATTAGGAAGAGACCCGAAGGGTTTCAATAGGAAGGCTCCCGATCGGATTCCAATAGGACACCCGTAGGCCCCATAGCGAGGAATCGCGTTGGAGGATCCCCCTGGGAAGGGCGCCGCTGGATTTCAATAGGCTTCCCTTTGGATCCCATAAGGAAAGGAATCCGCTGCTTCACATATCAACCAACACGCTTCAGAGAGCGAGAAGTTTCCTTTACGTGGACCCACGGATATTTCTGAAATTGTCGAACATGTGTCGCTTATGTGCGTTTACTTGCCTGGTTGTAGAGTGGCTTTCCTGGTTGTAAAGTGTCCTTCTGGGAAAACCCATGCTGGTTGTAAAGTGCCCCATCTGGTTGTAAAGTGGCCGTTCTGGTTGGAATGTGACCCGCACGCACCCCACGATACACCTGCGACCCAACTCGCCACCGAACCCTCGACCCACCCCGCGACCCACCCGCGACCCACCCGCGACCCACCCGCGACCCACCCTGCGACCCAATCCGCGACCCATCCGCGACCCACCCGCGACCCACTTGCGACCTACCCGCGACCCACCCCGCGACCAACCCGCGACCCAGCCGCGACCCAGCCGCGACCCAACAACGACCCACCCGCGACCCACCCGCGACCCAACCGCGACCCATTTGCGAACCGCCCGCGACCTGCCCACATTGGTTTGACCAAAAAATCTGCGCCTGCGGCGGGCTCTTTGCATAATTAGTAAAACTTCGGCTCCTGTGGCGGGCTTTTTCAGAGTCTCGCAGACTGCCGACGTCCCCACTGCCCCCTCACTTTTATCCGCATCTGGTGGGTGCTATGGTAAGGAGGTTTGGGGGGAAACCAACTGAGGGCAACTGCGATGATTGTGATGGTGGCGATGCTTGTGATGCGCTCACAACAACACCGGGGGACACATCGGGGGACCATCAAGACACCACCGGGGCACCATCGGGGCACGAATCGAAACGCCAACTGGTGCAACACCAGAACACCACCAGGAAACCATTGGGGGCACCATCAAGACACCAATCGAGACACCAATCGGGCCACCGACGGGACCGGCGACGGGACACCGGCGGCGACACACAGGCGGGACAACGACGGGACACCGGCGGCGGGACATAGGCGGGGCACCGACGGGACACCGACGGGATACCGATGGGACACCGACGGGACAGCGACGGGGCACCGACGGGACAGCGACGGGGCACCGACGGGACAGCGACGAGACAGCGGCGGGACACCCCAGGCCATCGCCCGCGGACACCGACGAGACACCGACGGGACACCACGGCGGGACACCACAGCGGGACTCCCCTGGCCACGCGGGCCCACTGGAGGGGCCGTCTTTCGTCTTGACCCGCCCTGGCCACAGCGGAGTCATTCCTCTCGCACGCCCACGCAGCTTCGCCCCGCCCGCACGCACGACACGAACCCGAAATCGAAACCGATTTCCCGGCGGGGGGCTCTCCGTTCCACGTTGATCTCACCCCCCAAACCTCAGGTCTCTGATCCCCTTTGTGTATTATTCATAGGGTATGTAGACATGTATGAAGTACGCCTTTCTTTCCACTTCCTCCTCCTCCTCCTGTCCCCTGCTCCTCCTGCTCCTCCTGCCAGGGGACGGGCGCGGGACCTCCACTCGCGGGCCTCTGCGGGGGACGCCGCTTCTGCCCAGGACCTGCTGGAAGGACGGTAACTTTACTTGTGCATTGAAGGGGCGCCAGGAGACACAAATAAATGCACACGAATAAAAAACTTCCCCATATTTTCCAGTAGTTTCTCGGTTTTTGTCTTCCCCCCACTTCCCATATGTTCCAATATTTTTCCTGGGAGTCGACGATTAATCGTGTCTGTGTGTTTCTTTCCCTCCTGAGCATTTTTCGGGGGGAGCAGAACGCGACCGAGTGTCAGCACACGTCGGGACATCGACCAAGATGCGAAGCAGACTCCGCGAGGCGAACTGGAAGCGCCACCCACGCCGACCTGCACGATCCGGGCGCATGAAGTGAGTTATGACCCAAGAGAGAAAGCGAGAACGAGAGAGAGAGAGAGAGAGAGTGAGTGATAGAGAGGGAGAGAAAGATAGAGAGAGAGACATAGCAACATTAACCTCAACCACTAACGCAACGCCGCTCAAACATAGTGCTACACATGCACGTCAACTTGAAAATTCAACTAGAACGATGTCCGTGAATCCCTAGGCCGAGGATGCTAACACAAGCTTTCAAGCCGGAGCCTAATATACTCTGACCAGACTTTGACACACAACCCCTGAACAAACTCTTGACGAAGGCATTAACCAAACTCTGGCCAGGGAGGTGTACTAATTGCTTCCCGCAATTATGATGGTGGCTGGTTTACGTCGCACATTATGCTGACGGGGTCGCACGTGCCTGGATTACTGAATTCGCATCTTGAACCACCGTGCCAGCCTGGTCGACCTGGTAAGGCATACCAGCGCGGTCACACAGGATTTATGTGGCTTGTCTCGCTTCACTGTTGCAACACATTGCGAATAGCAGATCTGCATGCACGCAGACATGGCCACTAGGCCATTTTGACTGTTCCGCTCGCTCCTGTCGGTGCACTGCCCCTGACAGTCCATCTCTGCTCCAACCACTTTCCTATGGGCACTGGTCCTGCCAGTTCGGCCCTGCACCCTTCCGCCACTTGGGTCAGGCGCGGCTGGCCTCGCAGCCATGGGAAGCGAACTGTAGGCCCTTACTGGTAGGGCCTCGACTGGTTTTTCGGGTAGGGGCCTGACCATGCACCCGATGTGGAACTAAGCCTCCGGTAAATGAGTACTTGACAATACCTGCTGCACCCCGCACGTCTCTGGCAACTCGTCACACTGGGACGTTTCGGGGCGACTGGGAAAATCTGACTGAACAACTCTTACGCTCTTCGGTTTTACCTTTGGCACCTTCCACCAATCTTTCGACGCCTCGGAGTTCTCCTCTAGCCAAGCCGTCGCAGCACCCCTTCGCCAACTTGGCAGCCACAGCGCAGCCTCTGACCTGCGCCATCCTCACTCACGGACTGCCGAGGCTGCCCTGCGAGGGATCGCTCCTGCCTCCCCCCTCCCCTTCCCTGCCGCAGCTGCAGCGGGGGTATCTCCTGCTGGAGCAGCTCGGCGTAGCCCTGAACCCACCCGCGCCGCTGGCTTCATTTCCCACCATCTTTCCCCGAGAGAGGGACGAGGGCATTCATGCGTTGGGATGCTCAGGGCCAAGTCGGGTCCATTCGGTGGGGGGGGGGGGGGGGGGGCAAAGCGCCTTCTCGTGTCCCCTGCGCCCCGCACCCACCGTGGCTGTAGCTCCGCGGGCTAGTCTTGCACTCTCGTTCAGCGGACGGCAACTGGAGCAGCGAGAGCTGCACGTACCCCCTCCGTGAGTTGACAAGCGCGACTGGCCCGATCATGTAACCTCAATCGAGCATTCAAGCTGAGATACAGCAAATGGAACCGATTAGATCTAGCAGCTCTACCATCATCTTTCGGACGGGCAACTGGCGACCAGAGCCTGCATTGCAGGGGACGCAGCATTCCCTCTGGCCTCCATGTCACTGTGATTCCGCCCTCCTCCCCACCCAGGCACCTTGTCGCGCGGAAGCGTCTCAGCCGAAGAGCTCTGTACCCAGCGCTCGAAGCGCTCACAACGTGGCGTAGAGCCCTCCTGCGGCATTGACGCAACAACTCGTTAGCACAAACGAGATGGACGTCGAACAACTGCGCGCAGAGCAGATAGCAGATGCGAGACATATGAATACGCTGAAAGCAACACCAAAGAGATGGGCCACTGGCTGCGCTCGAGTAGACCTTATCCTAACAAGCATCATTATGCCAATGCTCGCCACGTACTCTTTCCCCGTCACCTCATACTTGCCTCCCCGCCCCCTCGATACGCTTTTCCCCACCCTTCTACCACACTCCCCCCTCTCCATCTTTTCGCATTCCTCTTCTTCAGCGCCCCCCAACTTGTCCCCACCCCTGCTCTCTCACCAGAACCTCCATAGCTTTCCCCTTCTCCTACCCTTCCCCCCCCCCCTTGTTGGCGTCTCGTCAGAACCACCGTGCAGAGGGACACACTGCGCGACGAAACTCAGTCCAGGCGCCAAAACCAGGGTGCGTGTGATCGCAATCTCTCTCCAACTCATCACCGCGCACAGCCGCAACCTGTGTGAGACCGGCCGTGATGCTTACCTCCGTTTTGAATGACGCGCTGCTGCTAAACACTTCTTCAATCGCGTCTCCCGCATCTCTTATGACTTGGTTTCCCAAGCCCTTCGGTGATTGGTCCTCGTTTAGGAACGCACGGCGGCGGTTATGAACGCGATGGTGAACAGAAAACGATGATAATGATTACGGTGATGCTGCTGATGATGATGGTGATGATGCTGATGCGGATGATGAGCAGTGACAGACGCGTTTGGCCGCTGACCGATGACACCTATTATGAAATGATGTTTGCGAGCCACACCCTTGCACACTTACTCGAAACAGAGTGAGCCTGACGAGCGGAGTCTCAAGCTCCTGGACAACATAAAGAAGAATCTTTCTTATACTGCACAGCTGTGCTCCAGAGCTCGGGGTGCTTTGTTTTCGACGTCGTCGTTCGTTCGCGTCCCCTTCCGAGTCCTTCCCCTGCCCCTTGTAGCCCCATGGTGACCCAGAGAAGGCCCCAAGATGGCCCCAAGAGGTCCCCCCCCCTGCCCTCCCCGCCGCTGCCCCATGGGCAAGAGCCAGGGCACGCGCGCGCCGCTCGTAGAACAGCATGAGCTGGTCCCAAGGTGCGATCAAGAATGCAACTTTCTTGCCTGCGACGGACTCACCGCGAACCATTCCGGCCCGCTGTATGAACGTCCTCGCCAGCTTCCCCGGTCTCCGCTCGCTGCCCGCCGTTGTGCTTCCTCACGGGGGCCATCGTGACGAGTTAAACGGCGGAACCGAACAAAAAACAAAAAGGCGACAAGCAGCTTCAAGCATCTTGTTGCACTCAAGGCCGTCCACTGGGAAGCGCAATACTGCGCTGCGGACGACAATTACTCGTGGAAAACCAGCGGCCAACGTCCGTTAGGGGCTATCGGGTCGAGGTCGGGGTAATCACGAGTCATTTCGATGCGGCCTCGTGGCATCCGCCCCTCCCCCCGAACAAAAAGCGACCCCACGCAGACCAAGAAGGGTGCCGTGTTCCTGAGAGGTCTCTGCGGGGTTGCGCGGTTCCCGTTTTGTGATGGGCCACTGTCCTCCTCCTCCTCCTCCTCCTCCTCCTCCTCTTCCTCCTCCATCTCCTCCTCCTCCTCCTCCTCCTCCTCCTCCTCCATCTCCTCCGCCTCCTCCTCCTCCTCCTCTTCCTCCTCCTCCTCCTCCTCCTCCTCCTCCTCCTCCTCCCCGCCCCCATCCTCTCTTCCCTCCTCGTCCTGATGCCTCCCCTCCCTGGGTGCTGCCACGCGCGAGCAACCAGCACCTGCCTGCGCCTTTCGGGCGCTCAGCGGAGGGGTGAGCCAACCAGATCCGACTGAGGCCTCGCCTTGCCGGTGGGCTGCCAGGAGTGCAGCCGTCGCCAGGCTCCTGCGTCCGTTCGTGTTCCTGCAGAGCGAAGACTGGGGCACAAACGAGATTCTCTCTTCGTGGGTGCTGCCAGGGGTGCAGCCGTGGCCACTTTGCTGCGCCTCCAGGGGGGGCCAGCGCGAAAGCGACCCGCGAGCAGCAAAAAGAGAACCCGCCCTCCCTGGGTGCTGCCCTGGCGTGCCACTGTCGCAGCTGTGCTGCGCCTCCGGGTGGGCCAGTGGAAAGGTGAGCTATGCAGATCCACACGAGACGCCGGCGTCCCTGGGTACAAGTCTCGAAGCGTTCCTGCGCCTCTGGTGGAGGGGCCCGCGGAGTGGTCATCCACACAGGTCCAGTTGGAACCTCGCCCGTTCAAGAGGGCCCCCAGGTGCGCATCTGCCGCCAATTTCCTGCGCGTTTGGAGCTCCAGCGGAGCGGTGACACAGGTGGATCCGAATGAGACCACGCAACTCCATTGGTGCTGCGTGCAACCTCCGCCACTGTCCTGCGTCCTTTCAGCGCTGCTTCATATGGGCCGCCTCATTGGGCGTTCAACGCCACGGCTCCCTCAAGCAAGGAGCCGCGCGCCTTTCTATATCGCGATGTGCGTCGGATGCCAGCACTGGGTAATTGTCATTCGAGAGGCTTCCCCAATAACTTTCGCTGAAAGCGAGCTCCACGAATGCTGATTATCACAGCTGCGATTGCTACAACGACTGGTTCTGGGTGTGGGTGGGTCTAGGATTGAGCGGCTGAGACAGAGTGCCACAATCCTTGTTCATATGGGTACGAACGGCATGGGCAATAGCTGGTATGACTGAGTGCGTCTCCGTATGGTCGCCTGGATGTGAATGCGTTTGTGCGAGATCGGGCCTGACAAGACATGTCTAAATATGAATGAATCTGGGAGTGAGTAGGCTGAAACGTGAACGGATCGGGGTATGAGAAATCTGGGCATGAGCGAATGGCGCCTGGGCGGCCCCGGCAATGCGCGAACGAACACGTGATAACGCCCTTGGCCGGCATTCCCTCGTTATGGCCACATCACTTATTGCCCAACTCCGCATGCAACGCGTCGTGGCCGCCCGTGTCCGAGCCCGATGAGCGCGATGGGAAGCCGAAGTGGCCGGCCCCGTAGACGCGGCCCTCGTAGACCAAGTCGCAAACCAGGAGGGCGTACTCTGGCCACCCCCATCTGCAGCCAAGCCCACAGCGAGGACCTCGTCCGAGGCGGGGGCCTGCCGAGAAAGCCACGCCGCTTGTGCCTGGCGCCCCACTGCCCGAGAACAGGGCAGTGGACAGGCATGGGCTGTCATGACCTGATCGGCCGCTGGAGCCTCGCGAAGGAACCGTGCGCCTCCTGCATCGCCGAGGCGCCCGACAAACCATGCGATGAGCGCATCCAGGCGAACTGCGACCGCGGTGCGAAGCAGTCTCCATCGTCAACTTTCCCCCGCTGGACCTGGCGGAATTCTGGCTTGCAATACCCTGATCTCAAGGGCATGATGCGTTTCTTTGCGAGAGATTGGGAGAGGCGAGGCCGCGGGCGGTCCGCATCGCCGCGTGAAGAAGGCCGTGCGGCAGCGCCGTTACCAAAGAACCAGTGCTGGTCGCGTGACTCCCGCTGTACTCCTTCTGTCCTCCGCGAGGGAGGTGTTGAAGGCGCTCTCGATGCTGTCGGCCTCGGCGGAATGGTTGGCGACGAGTGGACGGCTCCGCTCGAAATTCGACTGATCGTCTGCAACAGTTCGAACGACGAACCAAGAGACGCGGGCCTAGAAATTGTATGTGCGAACGTTGTGTTGTTCTCATTTTATCGGGGAAGTCGGTGGAGCCCTCGCGCTTGGATCCCTTGTTGGGTCTGACGAGGGCTGCGTCTTGGATTGACGAAAAGGGGAACTGGGCTGCCATCCACTGACTGGGCAATAATAGGATTTGGAAAATGTCATGATGGGATTGGCTCAGGATGCATTTCCGGATTTCCATAAATGTAGTCTAAGTCTAGCTGCCCTCGTTTGTGCAGCACCTATGGGACACCAAAGAATCTGGAAAATCCTGGACATCTTGGAACAGACCGCTATCGTGGGCCATGGATGGGGCGGTCGGCCACCTTGGGGCCGCCCCTGAG